ACTCCGTGAAATCATGAGTGTGGCACACAATAAATGTGGAATAAATGCATCCCAACAGCCATCCTCCCTTCTACCAGCAATAGCCCCTAATTTTCTCTGGGTGTCTTCCCCATTTCTGGTGCCTTCCCCATTTCCACTCCCTCAGAGGGGAGCATATGACCCAGGCCTAAGTCAGTCAGCACATGGCATTCTCCTGGCCAGTGATTGGTTCGGGGAGTCTTGTGACCCAAGCTAAGACAATTAGAGTAAGTTTAGGGCTTTTGCTGGCGGTGCTGGGACATTTTGCTCCCCCCAGCCCCCGGGATAGGAACTGGAAGGACATGGTCGCTGCAGCTGCCAGAACCATCACCTGACCACAAGGAAGAGGCTGTGAAAATGGAATCAGTGGAGAAATTAGAAGTTGGTAGTGATACTTAAGCCTCTGACTCCAGCCATACCTGAGTTCCAACTACTTTCCCAGCAACAAGGGATCCCATTCTTATACTTCCAGGGACAGCTTTTGGGGCTAGGGACCTCAAAATGAGAAGGTTTTAAAACTTAAGTTCAACATCCTCAAAGGTTCCCAAGGTCCAGAAATCTAGTGGCAGAGTTGGGACTGAAACTTAAGCCTCCTCACCTGTATCCCAGTGCTCTTGCCACCAAACTCAGCCCCTCTCTAGAATTATTGCTCTTCAGCTCCAAGACTAATAATACCAAGTAAACAAAGCAAAAGTAAGGAAAAACCAGAAAGATTTCCCTGGGCAGGGGGGTGTTGAGGAGGAAAGTGGGACACTGGGAGGGGATTAGGTAGGAGGGCAGACCCATGTGTCCAGGACAGATGGGTTACCAGCCATAAAGTGTGCACCCAGGTATCTCTGAGGAGCAGTTAGAAGAGGTGGAGGGTGAGGAAAAAGGTGAGTTTCACACATTGGTCACCAGGGGCTCATCACCAGCCTGGGTTGGCCTGATTGTGGTTGGGATTTGTGGACATGATAGGCGCCGTGGTTATCCACTAGGAATTTTTTGTGGCAAGTAGAAGAAAGCCTGGCTCAAACTGACCTAACCAATTGGCCTGATGAGATTGACCCATCAGGGAGTAATGTCTTCAGGCATATTGGATCATGGGATCTGGGTGCTTATACAGCTATCAGGACTCAGTTTTCCTATTTCCATTTCTGTTGACTCTGCTTTCCTCTCTGGAGCCTTCATTCTCAGGCAGGCTCCCTCTAAGTGGAAGTCTGCAAAAGCTCCAGGCCTACGTCTTATGGGCTTGACACCACAGTGGACAAAGAGCTTCTCTTTCCTATTAGTTCCACTGAAAGTCTCAGGAATGTGTCTCATTGGCCTAAATTGGGTCATGTGCCCCTCTATCAACCAATGACTGTAGCCAGGGGGATGGGATATAATGATTGGTCAATCCTGGGTCAGATGCACATCTAAGATTTCCTAAGTCCCACCTGAGCCACATAGACATTTCAAATCCAGGTGGCGTCATTGGAAGAAGAAGGCATGGATACTGGCAAGGAAAAACAAAAGAAGTCCTCTATAGATGTTAGAAGGTGGCCGGCAAAATGCTAATAACATTTTTTAAAGTTCTAAAGTCAGGGCTTCCCTGGTGGCGCAGTGGTTGGGAGTCCGCCTGCCAGTGCAGGGGACATGGGTTCGAGCCCTGGTCCTGGAAGATCCCACATGCCACGGAGTGGCTAGGTCCGTGCGCCACAACTACTGAGCCCATGAGCCACAACTACTGAGGCCCGTGCGCCTGGAGCCCGTGCTCCGCAACGGGAGAAGTCACCGCGATGAGAAGCCTGCACACCGCAACAAAGACCCAACGCAGCCAAAAATAAATAAATTAATAAATTTATTTAAAAAAAAAAGTTCTAAAGTCAAATACATTTGGGGAATACTAGATTAGGTAAAGAGAAACAAAGGTTTCTCACAGGATCCCTCAGAGCCATGGACTCAGCAAAGTGCACTTGACTCTGCCAGGAGGATTTAGAGAATGCACTTTCCCCAAACTCTCCTGAAAGCAGAACGCTTCCTTGAGAAGCTTCTCTCGGGACTCATGCGCCACACACTGCATTTTGCAAAAAAATGGCACTGAATACCACAAACGGCCCGAGCTCTTGCAGCAGGCACTGTCGATGCCTTGTCCATGGCCCTCCTCACCACTTCAGGGCTCACTGGCCCACGCATCTGCCGGCACCTGCCTTCCTCTGCTCCAGGCTTGCTGGGGCCACTGGTGCCCACTGTGCCCACATGAGTGGCAGGCCAGAAGTTCTGGAGAATTAACAGCCCCCCTTTCCCTGGAGCCACCCTCAGTTGGTGAGTAATGGGCGAGGTTGTACAAATACCCCAGCTCCCTCCCCAGGCAGGATGGCTCATACCCACCCACTCCACAAGGCCCCAGACTGCCCCGGTAGGGCTGTGCCCCAGTTGCCCACATGGGTAACTGGCTCTATAATGCATCCTTTGTTGGCTGCCTTCTCTTTCCTGTCTCACCCCCCTGTCAGTGTTTTTGGGACCACCTCCCAAATAAACTATTTGCACTGGGACCCTTATCTCAAGGACCGCTTCTGAGAGACCCCAAATCAATAGAGCTGTTACCTTCCGATGGCCTTTACAAGCACCCAATTTTCTCCCCAGCAATTCCAGTAAACATTGTCTCTCACTTATCACTAAATCTACCTTTCCTCCAGCAACGGACTTCAAGAAAAAATCTGTTTCTGCTCCCTAGCTGCAGGGATTCTACCTACTGACCGCCCCACTATGCTAAGAACCCCAGCCCAGCCCCATAGACCTCGTTGCCTTGACTATCTGTCCCTCCTGGCTCATCCACTGGTGGAAGCAAAGCCACATTCTCTTGCTGATCCAAGAAACACCAGTGGGAAGCTGCTTCGTGCCTCAAGGCACACCCTGCCCCCAATCCACCAAGGTAAGGACCCAAAGTCACCTTGGACTTCCCCAAGCCTCACGGCCCACGGCCAACCCATCACCACGTCCTTTGCTTCTGCCTCCCAAACATCCCCTATTCTACCACCTCACTCCACGGCCACCACCACGTCTTCAGCTAGCCCACCATGTCTCCTGTGGATCTCTCTAGGAGCCGCCTCACTGATCCCACCTAAGGGCCCTGGCCTACGTTGCTCCTAAAGCCTGGAGCGCCATATGCAACTCACCTACTTGGTGTAGACAGACCGGCCCCTCTCAGCCTCCTGTTTACTGCCTCCTAAAGCTGCTTTACTTTTCTGCCTCCATCCACTGCCCCCTTAGGTCTTGGCCTCTCTTCTTATTACAAAATCATTCAGATTTGCAAACACTTGAGAGTCACGTATCATACACCTCTGTATCCAACCCTGCTTAATACGAACAAGACATTACACATATCATGGAGGCCCTTCCTGAACTCCTTCCCAGGTATCCTCCCCCTCTGGCCCATGGTAGCCACCCTCCAGAGTTTGATATTCCTCATTCCTTTGCCCATCATTTTTTTCTTTTTTTTGGCCGCGACTCACGGCTTGTGGGATCTTAGCTCCTGACCAGGGATGGAACACATGGCCCATGGCAGTGAAAGCACAGAGTCGTAACCACTTGACTGACTGGGAATTCCGTCCTTTGCCTATCTTACTATCCTTGCATATATGTGTATCCCTGGACAACATGTACAGGTTTTTCATGTTTTTAGGTTTATATAAATAAAACACTTGCTTTCCTTTTCTCACTCCACCTTCTGCTGGTGATATTTATCGGAGGTGACATGTTGCTCCAGTCCACTGATCTTTCTCTGCTGGTGGGTCTCCACGGTGTCACTGGACTGCAGGCCCTCCGTCCACTCTCCCAGTGACGGTATCAGCTGTGTCCCGCTGTCAGCCATTACAGTTTGCCCTGAGCCCCCTGGACCTACCCCTTAGCCCATGTGCTGCTTTGTCCAGGTTTATACCCAGGGATATGCTAGGCAAAGGGACACACCATCCTCAGCTTGACTGATGTCGCTAGGTTATTCTCAAGGTGGTGGCACCAATATGACCTTGTTGGTAAACTGTTTCTGTCCCTCAGCCCAGGCATGAAGGTGCCTCTGCCCTTTTCTATTTCCTCCAAATAAAATGACTTGGACTTCCCTGGCGGTCCAGTGGTTAGGACTCCGCGCTTCCACTGCAGGGGGCGTGGGTTCGATCCCTGGTTGGGGAACTAAGATCCCACATGCCGCACATCGGCCAAAAAAAAAACCAAAAAAAAAGACCATGCCACCTGTTGATGTCCAGCTTGTCCAAACCCTTCCCCAGACCTCCCTCCCCCACTTCTCCAACAGGCCTCTCACAACCTCCCCGCCTGGCGCAGCGGCTCCTAATACAACACTCAGAGCAAGGGTGCTGGCGGCAATGACTCTGGAGGCCAACAGGCCCAGATCTCAGCCCAGATTTGCCACTGCAAATCACTTTTCCTCTCTGAGCCTGTGTTTCCTCACCTGCAAAATGGGGATACACAAAGTAACTGACAACAGGGGCGTGACAATGATGAAATAAGCATGGAAATGTGGCAGGTGCTCCATAGAGGAGCTGTTGCTGTTACCTTTGGAGGCCAGAGGACACCAACAACTTTGCATCCCGCTCAGGACTACTCTAGTTGTATGTGACAGAAACCCCAAATCAAGCTGGTTGAAGAAAACTGGTCATTTATTGGCCCAAGTAACCAGAGTCTGAGGGGATGTCTGGCTTCAGGTGTGACTAGATCCAGGCATTCTGACACCACCAGGAAGCCAGCCCTGCCCCCCTCCAGGCCTTCTCTCTTCCATACTGGCTTCATTCTTGGGACGCTCTCCAGGTGGGGGCTCCAGGACCATGTTCTCCCAGCTTCACAACTGCCATGAACAAAAAGCTTCTCCTGGGCTTCCCTGGTGGCGCAGTGGTTGAGAGTCCGCCTGCCAATGCAGGGGACACGGGTTCGTGCCCCGGTCCGGGAAGATCCCACATGCCGCGGAGCGGCTGGGCCCGTGAGCCATGGCCGCTGAGCCTGCGCGTCCGGAGCCTGTGCTCCGCAACAGGAGAGGCCACAACAGTGAGAGGCTCGCGTACCGCAAAAAAAAAAAAAAAAAAAAAAAAGCTTCTCCTTCCTGACACTTCCTGCTCATGTCCAGCGCTGGGCCTCACTCTGGCCAGGTTGTCACACGCCCGCATGGGGGCCAGTCCCAACGACCAGGGTATCCACCAGACCCTCGTACTCAGAGGGGGGCGGTCTTGGAGCAGCAGCAGTAGAACCACTTGGGAGCTCGTTAGGAATGCAGAGTCTCAGGCTACATCCCAGATGGACTGAATCAGAATCTGCATTTTCGCAAAACCCCCAGGTAAGTCATCTCTAAGTCACGTCTGAAGAGGACTGTGCCCGTTAGCTTTTTCAGTTGCTTAGACAATTTTTAAAGTTCTGTTTTATTAAGAACCACAAAAAGTAAGAATTAAGAAAGCCATTTGAGGGACTTCCCTGGTGGCACTATGGTTAAAAATCTGCCTGCCAATGCAGGGACCACAAGTTCAAGCCCTGGTCTGGGAGGATCCCACATGCCACGGAGCAACCGGGCCTGTGCGCCACAACTACTGAGCCTGCGCTCTAGAGCCCATGCTCCGCAATGAGAAGCCACCGCAATGAGTAACCCCTGCTCTCTGCAACCAGAGAAAGCCCATGCGCAGCAACAAAGACTCAATGTGGCCAAAAACTAATTTTTTTTTAAAAAAGCAAGCCTTTTGAGGTCATCAAGTCCACCCCCTTGTTTTAAAGATGGAGAAACCAGGGGCCAGTGGGGAAGGGTCTTGCTCTAGACGCCCACCCAGCGCTTCCCCACGCCCTGTTCTCCCATCACCTCAGCCATCGTCTGCCACTTCCAAGGACTAACTCATGAGGAGATGCACCTGAGCCCCAGGACTGCCAGCTGGGCTCAGAACTGCCTCACTCAGAAGGTGACGCGTCCCAGGCTTCGTTCAGTCACTCACACATACCTGGTCAGGACCCTCGGGAGCACAGAGGGTCTGCAAGGATGGAGACCCATAAACACACACACGCGCACACACACGTGCGCGCACACACACGCGCACACACACACACACACACACACACTCAGGACCTCGGACACAGCCCACCCTCACCCTGACTCCGACCCACTGGGCCCCCCAAAGCTAAGAGCGCTACAGACCACAGCAGCCTTTATTCTGTTACAGAGCAGGGCTGGGGCCAGGGTGGCTCGTTCTCAGGCTGCGTCAGAAGGTGCAGAGTACTGGGGCCACACAGACGGGACCCCGAAGTGACAATAAGTTAGGGGGAAAGTTCTCAGGCTGTCGTCAGGCTGGAGGCGGGGCGGGATGCCGAGTGGGGGCCCACAGAGCCGCTGCCGGCTGCTCAGCTCAGCACTCCCAGGCAAGGCTGGCTCCAGACCCCACACGGCCTCCCACTGAAACACAGCGGGGCAGGGACAGAGGGAGGGGTACAAGGTCAGGAGGTCGGTGGCGGCCACAGGGGCCCCAGACTCAGAGAGGAGAGGGCGGGGAGGGCCCACAGGCCCAGGGCAGGGCCGGGCCGGGCGGGCCTCTCACCGGGCCTTCAGTGGATCTGGAGATTCTCGTAATCTGGAGCTTCCTCACCCTCCACCTCCTGGGAACTCCGGCCGGCTGCGAGGGAAAGGAGGTTGGTCTTCAGCTGACAGGCCATCCCGCTCTCCTCCAAGGCAGCTCCCCCAGCGTCTGCCCTACCTCCCCCGACACACACCAGGCTTGGTCCTCGCCACGGGCGGCAGCTCCTGGGACACGTTCACGTACTCCCGGCTCCCATCTGTGGGGACAGGTCAGAAGGAGGGACGGCCATACCGAAAGGGGGGCAGGCCACACTGAGGGTGAGAGAGGAGGAGGACGCCCAAGCAGAGGGTGAGGAAGCCAGAGAGGGGGCGGTGGGCACCCTCAAGGCCGGAACGGGAGTGAGGAGGGAAGGCAGACCCCAGCCACTCACCCAGAGACGCATCCGCGCTCCCCTCGCTCTCAGGGACATTCACGTAATCTTCCCCCGACTCCACTGCAGGAAAAGCATTGGCGCCCACGCACTGTTACCCAGACCCCCCGAGGCAGACACCCAGAGGCTCCCAACCGCAGCCCCCAAAGACTTTCGACATAACCAGCCCGAGGCTCCCACACGCAGGCCCCCAGAGACCATCCCCACTGTCAGCCCCAGAGGGAGGCAGGGAGGGCGGTCCGGACCTGCCACGCGGGTGGCGATGGAGAGAAGTAGGACGACTTGACCAGAATTGATTAGGGGAAACGGAATTGTGGGAGGAGAGACAGCAGGCCCCAGCGTGTCCCCCAGGCCGGGGAGCAGGGCCGGGGAGCGGCTCGGGGTGGTGGGGCTGGGCGACACGTGTGCGGAAGGAAACAACACGCGGGACTGGGCCGAGTCAGAGGCGCCATCAGCCCTGCCGGCCCTTCCTCCTCAGCCAGGCCTGCCCTCACCCCCCTCTCCTGTCCTTGTCCCTTCCTAGCGCCTAGCGCCATTGACGACATCTTATTCTTTCATGTGTTGACTTATTTCTCCCTGAGGATGTGGACAAGGCAGGCTTCGGAGTCAGACTGCCCAGGTTCAAGTCCAGCTCCAGCATTAACTAACTGTGCAACCTCAGGCAAGCTACCTAACCGCTCTGGGCCTCAGTTTTCTCATCTGTAAAATAGGGTGAGGAACGGTACCCACCGCACAGGGGTGTTGTGAAAACAGTGAATTAAAATAAGCCCTGTCATACCGTAAGTGCTGCCAAGTTTCTGTTAAATAAACAGATCATTGTACAGATGGGACAAGTGTGGGGCAGGAGGGGAAGGGACAGGATCAAAAGCCCCTGGGAATTGTGACGTTTAATATTAATAAGTTAATACACATAAAACTCTTAGTAGGGCATGTAGTAGGCCTTCAATAATGTTAGCTGTTTTAATCACAGCTCTGCCTCATTAGATGTGATTATATCAGGGGCACCCAGTAAATATGATGGATGACTGAATGAGTGAATGAATGAATGAAAATAAGCACTTGGACTGATGGTCTGGGGCTCAAGAGAGAGGCCGTGAGTTGAGAATCAGGATGGCACATGAAGCCAGGGTGTGGAAGTCAAGACCCAGAGCAAGTATAGAGAGGAAGGAGAGGAATGGAACACTGAAGATCACAAGACACTTAGAAAAGCCTCCAACAGGCAGGATGGAACCAAAACGAAGAGAGAAAAGCAGCCCAAAGGAAACTGAAACAACACAGGAAGCAGAAGAAAACTTCCCAAAGAAACCCCAAAAAAGACGACCTATAATCAATATCCTTAGAGATTTACGAGATGATACTGCCTTTGTGAGACAAGATAGGAGGCTATGAAAAAGGAACATTCAGAGATGAAGAAAGGGCTTTTGGACAAGAAAGACGAAAGCACAGACTCAAAAGAAGAATAAAGTCAAGGAAATCTTGCAGACAATAAAAGCAAAAGACAAGGAGGGAAGAGAAGAGAAAAGGTAAGGAAATCAGACGATCGGAGCCGGAAGTGCCCCTATCTGAAGGACAGAAGTGCTAGAAAGAGAGAAGAGAGAAAATGGAGGGGGAGCAAACATCCAGGAGGAGAGGGAAGAGCCGAGGGGCCGCAGCACAGAGGGGCGGGGAGCGGTCAGAAGGCCGACTCACTGGAGAAGGCGCTATCTCGGAGGCCAGGGTTGCTGGACGCAGGAGCTGGTGGGACGGCGGCGCCAGTGGCCGGGACGTTGTCAGGAAGCACGACCCTGAGGGGAGCCAAGGAGCGGGTGAGCAAGGAGCCCCGGCCTCAGCTCCCACCTCCCGCCTGGCCACTCACAAGTAGCCCTCGGGATAGTCTTCCTCATCCTCATCTTCGTCCGCATCCTCACAGACTGCCTCTGGGGTGGGTAACGACACAGGGTCAGCGGAGCCCAGGACAGGCCCCAGCCTCCTCCCACCCAGGGCCGCCGGGGCCCCTGACGCACCCTCGTTCTCATAGCTGGCCACGCTGTTGGCTGCAGAGAGAGCAGGAGAGGGAGGCTGAGCTAGCTCAGAGGGGCCTGTCCTCTGCCTGGCCCCAGCCCCACAGGCCCGGCTCCACGCTTACCACCATCTGAGTCCTGCTGGGAAGACGGCATGCGGGGGGAGCCTCCGGGGGGCTGTGGGGATCTCCTGGGAATCAAAGGTCAGAGGGCAGGCTGGGGTGGGGCTCTGGGGCAAGAGGGATTGCAACAGGGAAAGAGGCCCCCAATCCAAGCAGGTGAGGGGGTAAAAAGGGGGATTTGGAGGGGAAGCGGCCACTTACGGGATGCGGAGCAGGTCTGGCTGGCTCTGGAGCAGGTAGGTCACAGGCGGGTAGGAAGTGGCTGGTGGCCAGGGGGCGACAGTGGCTGAGAACACAGGACCAAGCTGAAGGAATGACTCCAAAGCTCACGGCCCTACCCTGGACGAGGCCTCGAAGGGCAGACGAACCCCCGACACCCCTGTGCCCTGGACAGGCCTGGTGGGGGGGGCACCCATCTCCCTCCCCACCCCCAGCTCAGGTCAAGGCCATGTGGGCAGCCACAGGGGGAAACTGAACAAAGGCACACACTCTCCCACCCACGCCAGGAGACGCTCCCCCCGCGTCCAAGGAAGGTGACCCTCCATGTACTCACGAGGCGGTTTGATCACGATGCTACTTGGGGTCAAACTAGCAGGAGGGACACAGTTTGGGTAAACAGCTGGGAGAGGCCCCAGACCCCATCTCAGTCCCCTGGGGCCCAGCCCTGCATGGGGTATTGAGGGAGACACCCAGGGCGGACGGGGCAGACTCACCCATCGGAGGCAGCAGTGTCATATGAGCCTGGGGAAGAGAGGGCCCGTGAGGCAGGAAAAGGGGGTGACGAGGGCAGACGGTGATGGAGTACGGGGCTCTCAGCGACTCGAAAGAGTTAAAGAGGGACAAAGGAGTTGGGGCGTGGGGTGAGGATCCCTGTCGGTGTGTCTGAGCACCTGGACACCCCACCAGCACCCACTCACCTGGCAGCTCTCGGCAACGCACACACAATGCCATCAGCAGCACAGCCAAGAGAGGCAGCAGCAGGAGGCCCAGCACAAAGAGGACCAGGCTGACTGCCTCCATCTGCAGGGGAGAGCGTGGACCGGGCCTAGCTGCTCGCCGCACACCCCTCGGGGACAGAGCAGCAGCGGGGCAAGGGCCAGGCCACAAAGGGTACAGGGGCCGAGCGGGCACCAGGCTGGGAGCCTGGTGGGGGGCAGCTGCGCCCTCCTCGGGGGCTCCCTGGGTCTCCTCCCCTCAGCGGGCGTCAGCGCAGGCTCTGGAAGACCCTTGAACCCAGGGCGGTCAGGCCCTGACCTGGAGTCTGGCGCCAGCCACCCCTACACAGACCCTGTGCCCCAGCCCTACCTGCCCCTGGACTCTGCGCCTGCCTCTCCTCAGTGCCTGCCTGCCTGTGGCAGGAAGCTGTGGTGAGCGCCGGGTGAGGGCAGGAAATCATCAGGGCTCAGCTGGCTGCACCCTCCCCCTTCCCACCCCCACCCAGCCAGTGGGGAGGGGGAGGAGGCGGCCTCAGGAGCCGGCCTGGGCCCTCAGGAAGGGTCTGCTGGTTCCCGGGACAAGGGGCAACTCAGACCAGTGGGAGGAGGAAAAGATACTTGCAGGCCAGCCAGCTGCCGTGCCCTCCACAGCGTGGCTCAAGGAGGCGGCAGGGAGGGAGGCCCTGACACCAGGAATTCTGAGGCGCCCAGGGCGTGCCCACCCCACCTCACCCTGGCCGGCCTGCCAAGAAGGGTGGGCTCTCGGGGAGACATGGGGGTAAGCGACTCCTGGTCACACCGAGCCAGCTCACTCCGCCCCCTCATTCACTGGCCCAGAAGGGCAGGGATTTGCCCAAGGGCCCGCAGGAGTGACCCAACAGCCCCTGGGAACCTGGGACTAGAGAGGGGGCGTCCCCTGCAATCCAGGGGTCACTAGCACCCAGAGAGACTCCAGCAGGCACTTGGGGTCTGGCTACAAACTTTATTCAGTTACAAATAGCACCGAGCCCCTGAGGCTGCTCCAGTGGCGGGGGATCCCCCTCCCGGACCCCCAGAATCCCCTCTTGGCCACCTGTGTAGTGTGTAGGAGCTGGAACATGGCCCAAGGCCCCTCCTAGAAAATGGGCCAGCCGAGGATTTGGGCCCGGGCACCTCCTGGGGTGGGCCCAGGGCCAGCTGTGGTAGATGTGCAGGTAGCAAGCGGCAACCCCTCAGATGAGCACACTGGACACGGGGACCCGGGTGGAGCGTCCTCTCTGGGGCACCACGATGCGGTCATCAGCAGGCCCGGCCTCACGCAACAGACCTGTCGGGGAGGGATCAGAGCCAGGGCTGGATGGACAGACAGACACAGGGCCAGGGAGGGGACAAACAGGCACTAGCAAATGGATGGGGCAGCAGAGACACACAGTGGGGCATCAGCTCGTGGGACAGGGAGACCCGAGGCCGAGGGAGGGGAGGGCTGTGGACTGAGGGCTGCCAGGGACACAGGGCTGGGTGGGCGGATGGATGGACAAGCAGGCAGCATCATGAAGTTAGGCAAGGAGCTGTGGACGGACAGCGGGGAGGCCCGACCGACCCTGCACGTGCAGCTGGGCCCGCCGGCGGTCGCCCTCAATGAAGATGGCAGCGCCCAGGAAGGCTGCGCCGCCCAGCGCCCCCATGAAGGCGCAGAGCATGAGCGAGAACTGCAGGGCCCGGAACTCAGACAAGAAGGAGGGTGGCCAGCCCTGGCGGAGGCGGTCGGAGATCTGCAGGTAGACAAGGAAAGAAAAGTCAGGAGAACGGAGAGGAAGCCCCTGAACTCCAGGAGAATGAAGAAGACTTAGGCCTGGACCTTACCGGTAGAAATCTGACAAGACAAAATCGTGCCCACCCAGCTGAGCCTCTGAGGTGAAGGGTGCCTGGCACAGGGGACTCGGATGCCTCACTAGGGTGAGACCCTCTAATCTGGCCTGTGCTCAGGCCACTGGCCGCCAGCTGGTACTGGGAATGTGGGGTCCCCCGAGCCCCATCCCAGGCCCAGCCAAGGGACCGTGCTCACCAAGCCAATCAGGTAGGGGCTCCCAGCGTCACCCAACAGGTGGGACAGCACGATCTGAAAGGCTTCAGCGGTGGAGCGTCGTGTGGGGATCACCACGTACTGGGAGGAAAGAGGGGCAGGAGACAGAGGGCGGGGACAGGGCCAAGGCTCAGCCTAGGTTGAGGTCAGGTGAACCCCAACTCAGAGGTGTGGCTGGGGTGAAGGGCAGGGCGGGTCCAGGCTACAGGCCCACCTGGGGTTGGACTCTGAAGTCAGTCCAGGGCTGGGTTTTGAAGAAGGGGTGAAGGTCACAGTTCAAGGCAAGTGAGGTCCCCTGCCCCAACTCCCTGCTCCCATCAGCCTCTGGGGTAACCCTGGGCCACCTACTCACCAGCAGAATGTCAGCCACAATGGCCCAGTTCATGGACAGCAGTGTCTCTCCAATAAAAATGAAAATCTGGGGGATGGGAGGTAGGCGGTGAAGGAGGGGGAACAGGGGTGGGGCGTTGGTCTCATCACAAGACGAGCAAACACATGGAGGGTTCACTAGGTACCAGGCCCATCTATTAACTCATTTAACCCTCACAACACCCCTAGGAGACAGTTGCTACTATTATTCCCATTTTACAGAAGATGAAACTGAGCACAGAGAGGTTAAGTCACTTGCCCAATGTCACACAGCTAAGAATGGCCAGAGCTGAGATTCAAACCCAGGCATTCCCACTCCAGAGTTGGCTCTGACCCTAGTCCTGCCCCAGTGCACCATTCCTCCAACCTGGACCCAGAACACCCCCTTAGACACCTGCTGGCTACTCACATAGGTGGCCACGATGCTACCACGGGCACAGGCGAGGGACAGGAAGAGGAAGGGTGAAGAGCCCAGGAGGCCAGCAGCACAAACCAGCGGGTCAGCCCGGGGGTTGGAGCGGCGGAGTCGGCGGCTGATCTCCACGCCCAGGCCCACACCCAGGACCCCGGTGAGGCAGGTGATGAGCCCAAAGATGAGGCTGGAGGGAAGGGGAGGGGCAAGGGGGCTAGCCTCACCCCCATGGCCCAGAGAGAACGATCGTCCATCCCGGCCACCCTCACAACCCAGGTCTATCCAGGCACAGCACCCCATGGTTCACAAGAGGAAGGCACCTATTCCCAGACTAGGAAACTGAGACCCTGGGAGAGCAAGTAGCTTGTGGAGTCAGGATTCACACTCTCCTTGCCTGAGTCTGAATCACAGACTCTCTCCACTTCATCCCCTGCCACCTGCAGGGCTACCCAGACCAGACCCCATCTGGGTACCTGTCAGAGGAAGAGCAGGAGTCTCCAGGAAGGCAGGGGGGGGTCTCCCCCAAGACCACACGGGAACGCAGCAAGAAAGCAGGAGCCCAAAGAGCCAGGGAGCCCGTGACAAAGGCCACAGCAGTGAAACCAAGGGAAGACAGGATGAAACTAGGACTGCAGACATTTAGGAGGGAGGAAGTTAGACTCCACTGAGGTATCGGTGTCAGAGACCTCTCTTCTCCCTCTCTGGCTTATTTTAATAGTCAGGGCACTGAGTCTGGAGGCTGTACTGGCCTCCAGGATCTGGGCCTGTAATTCAAGCAGTTGCCATAAGGGGGCAGTGGCGACAGAATTCCTGGCCTTAGGGTAGGGCCAGCTGACAGAAAACAGAACAAAGACCACACCCATGTAAATCTCAAACTAGACCTCAGGGCCTCCCTGGGGGCCTCAGATGTTGGGTTAGGATGGAACGGAACTCACTTTCTTGCCAGAGCCCTCAGATCTTCCCACCACGAGGTGGGGCTCAGGGGTGGTGAGTGTGAGTGGCGCTCCACAGCTCCCCTTGGTGGCTCCCGTACTACCAGGAACAGCAGCAAAACAGCCAGCACTCCTAGACCTGGTGTCACCTGGGGAAAGAGTGGGCTTCAAGAAAGGCACAGACGGGGAGACACTCAACCCTGGGGGCTGAGAGAAAGTGAGGGTGTATAAAAGCAACTCAGGCCCCAAGACCTCAAACACCCAGTGAGTGCCTGCTCAAGGAAGCTGAACCTGTGGTTGAGGGGAGGGGGTGACTGCCACTAGGAAGTGTTTCTGTTTCTGCAAGCCTAACTGCTCCCTCTTTAGCAACAGCACCCTAATTTTCTTTTGGGAAACCACTCCCCCCATTTCTCTCAACCCATGTGGTTCAAATAGGGTGGGGCTTGTAACCCAGACTTTGCCAAGAGTAATGTTAAACCTCCCAGGCCTCAGTGATTGAGTCAGTGCCAGCATGTGACCCACGGTTCATCTAATCAGACACCGTCCAGGACTACTGCTCAAGGATCCAGGGTGCTGAAGTTTCTAAACGGGAAGATAAACACGGGGAGCTTTCACTTGCTTGAGAAGGAAGATAACAGAGGAAAGTAGAGCTGAGAAAAGGATGATCAAATTCCTGTGACACTGTGGGAGTCCTGCATCCAGCTTTACCTGAAGCTCACCCTGGGACTTTCCATTATGAGAGCCAATACAGTCCCATTTGGGGGTTTACAGTCGTACAATGGGCTTCTATCACCTGCAATCGAGTTTTACCTAGCACGTGGCTTCGCAGTGAGGGCAGCTAGGCTGCCTGCAGGCTTGGCAGAGTGAGCACTGCCTTCGAAAGGGGGTGTCTGACGGTAGAAAGGGGGAGTCAGTGAGTGCACCGCTAACTTTTCCCCAGGCCGTGACCCGACTCACCCGCAGAGCCCAGTGCCAGTCCCCGGCCACATCCTTCACTTTGGAGCCTGCAATGTAACCCAGACCACTGTGGGAAGGGGGTGGGGGAGGAGAAGAGACGGCTGGTCAGTCCCGTTCCAGGCAAGGCCCTTCTGCCTCCCCACCAGGCCCGAGGTCCACTCACCTGCCCACAGGGATGGCAAAGTAGAACACGCTGAGCATCCGACTCCGCTGGTCTGCCACGAAGAGGTCAGCGATGAGGGTGGGTGCGATGGTGGAGTAACTGGCCTCCCCGACCCCCACCAGGCCCCGGGTCAGGAGGAGCAGCCAGAATCGCTGGGGAACGAGATATGGGGCAGGTGGCACCCCGCCCTGCAGCCAGCCTCCCAGCCTCCCTCACCAGCCAGCTCTGGAGAGGTGGCAGGGATGGCAGGAGAGGCCTGCGTTTTAGAATCAAACCAAACTGAGCTTGAATCTTGGCTCCACTACTTACTAGCTGTGACTCTGAGAA